AGCCTTGTGTCTATGAATAAAAAAGGAAATTTTAATTCATAATTGAAACTTTCTACTAGGTAAACTTTGGGCACAACTGACTTCTTCATTGAATTATTTAAAAATTAAAAGAATAAACAATACCCAAACCCTTTGAGAAAGTAGAAGAGGGAACATTCCACACTTGCTGTGTGAGGCTTGTTGCCCTGATACAAAGCTAAATAAAGACATTGTAAGGAAGGACCACTATCCTGCATGACAATATATACAAAATTCCTTAATAGAATGCTGGCAAATCCAGTGCATCAATATATAAAAAAGTAATGTTTATCCCAGAAATGTAAGGTTTTCCAAACATCTGAAAATTAATATGGTTCATAATTTACTATTTTAATTGAATGAAAGTGAAAACTAAGCAGTCATTTCAATAATGCAGAAAATGCATGTGATGATATGAAATACCTATTCATGATAAAAGACTCAACCAGAAGCCAAGGTAATTTATAAAACCTAAGGAAAGGACACATAAAAAATTTCAACTTCAAATGGTAAGCTACTAAAGACTTTCCCTCTAAAATCAGGGAGAAGGCAAGGATAAATACTTTTACCACTTTAATTCAACATTCTATAGTAGGTTCTGACTCTTGGAATAAGGGAAAACAAACAAGAACATGGTTTAGAAAGTTCCAGTGTCCTCCTTAAGAATTCTTTGCCCAACACAATGTTGTGCAGATTTTTCTGTTTTCTTCTAGAAGTTTTGTACTTTTAACTCCATTGCTCATTGATTTCTGGGTGAAGGCAGAGCATTGTTTTTCACATGGCAAAGGAGTAAATAAAATAAATGAAACTGCCTTTATTTGCAGACAATATAATTGTGTGTGTAGAAAATTGAAATGTATCTACAAAAGTGTACCAGAACTGAAAAGTGAATTTAGCTTGACTATGAAACACACAGGTCAGTATATAAAAATCAGTTTTATTCTTCTGTACAGCAATTAATATTTAGAAAATGAAGTTTAAAAAGAGTTCATTATGATAGCAGTGAAACTTAAAATATTTAGTAATAAATTTAATGAAAGATGTGTAAGATCTATAAACTGAAAACTATGAAACAGTGCTGAAGGAGATTAATAAGACCTAAATAAATACATATTACGTATTCATGGTTTGGAAAATTAAATATTTAGGTGAGTTTGGAGAGAGTCCCATTTTTAGAGTTGGTGGAGGTGCTACCAAAATTCTAGCAGGTTTGTTTGAAAAAATTGACAAGTCGATTCTAAAATTTAATGACCAAAGAGTTTTAAAGAAGGTTTGAGGATGTGCACCACCTGTTACAAAATTTACTCTAAAACTACAGTAATCAAGACAATCTGGTATGGGTGTATGGATTGACTTTCACATTAGTGAAACAGTACAGAGTTGAGAAATAGATCTCCTCTTATGTGGTCTATTAAATTGGCTCTTAAGAAAGGCAACTGGATTAATCATTGGGGGAAAGAGACCTTTTTAGCAAATGGTGGTGGAACAATTAAACATCTATGTGGAAAATAGCGCTTTGACTTCATCCAGAAATCAATTACCGATAGAGTTAAAAGTACAAAACTTCTAGAAGAAAATAGAAAAATCTGCATGAAATGGTGTTGGGCAAAGAATTCTTAAGTAGGACACAAAAAAAAAGCACAAATTATTAGAAAAAAATGATGATTGACTATTGAAATTAGACTTTTTCTTTTCAAAGGGTATAGTACAAAAAAATGAAAAGGCATGATAGACTAGGAGAAAGCATTTACAAAACTTATCTGAAAAAGTGCTTGTATCCAGATATATACAATTGTTATAAACTGAATAATGAGAAAAGCAACACAATAAAAACAAGTAAATGATTTCAATAGACACTTCACAAAGAAAATATATGAATAAGACCAGTAGCACTAGTCATCAGGGATATGTAAATTAAAATCCCATTATGTTACCACTGTACACTTTCTGTAATAGGTAACATTAAAATTGCTAATGATATCAATTATTAGTGAAGATGTAGAACAAAAAGAGCTCATATATTGTGGCAGGAATGTAATATTGTATAGCCATTTAGAAAAATAGTTTGGCACCTTCTTAGGAAGTTAAATGTACAATTCCCTTCATTCCCTTCTAGGTATTTACCTAAGTGAAATGAAAACACTCATCCACATAAAGACTTGTACTTGAATGTTCACGGCCTTATTTCTAATAGCCTCAAACTGGAAATTACATGATTATTCATCTGCAAGTTAATAAATAATTGTTTATCCTTATTATGGAATACTATTCAGCAATATGAAAGAATGAACTTTTGCTATGACAGCAACATGGGTAAATTTCAAAAGTATCATGTTAAATGAAATAAGTCATATAAAAACCTCCATACTTTGTTTATATGAAAATCTAGAGGGCAAAACTTTGTTGGTTGCTGGGATCCCAGAGTTGAGACCAATTGTATTTAAGATGATGGAAATATTTTAATTGTGAAGTTGGTTTCCTGACTATATACAGTTCATCAAAGTTCATCAACTTGTGCACTTAAAATGGGTGATTTGTTTTTGTACTAAAATAGAGCTGTTGGAATAATGGGATGTTTCTTTGCATCATAAATACTTTCAGTCATTTTCAACAGATTTAAATGGGTTTCTTGAGTTTTTGATACAATTTTAAAATGGATTCCACCTAAAACAATTAAGAAACTTGCTAAGGGAATGAGGACATGAGATTGGAGGGTGTTTCAGTTGGATGAGGTATTGGGAAAAGTTTGTCTGATAAAGGGACTTTTGAGCAGCACAAATGAAGCAAGTTAAGTTGAAGAAATGAGTTTCTTTACTTGTGCCTCTCACATTTCTTACTGAATTACATTTCTTACTGAATTTATGTCTAGATGTTCTGTAGTTTCTGTTGCTGTTACAAATTAGTTTTTCTTGTCTTATTGCATTGGCTAATAATAATTCTTAAACTAGGTTTTGTTTGTGCCTTCATTTGTCTTATAACTCCAATTTATTAATTCCTCAGGACAGAAATCATACAAACGTTACATGTTATAACCTACAGTTCCTGCTTCTGTGCTATTTTTACAGTGTGTGCTCAGTTAGTGCATTCTGATGGCTTTTACTGAGTTTAAGCAGATCATTGCCGTATTCGTTAATCTTTGTTTTTCCTAAGCTCTCTTTACACCAAAATGTAAGTAGAACCTCAAAAAGAAATAAAGTGGAAAACATGCAAATGCAATTTCATGTAATATAGTCTTAGTTTTACTGTCAAGTAGAGTGAGTAAAAGATACATATAAGAATATTAGCCGGTGCCTTTAAAACACCCCTAGTGGATGAAAGTTGGGAAAAATGAAAAGAAGGTATTTTTAAAATTCAATGCCAGATTGAGAGACAAAGTCTGAAGGCATTTGGTTGGCCAGGTATAGATTAGAGATGGCCCTCTTGGCAAGATATAGTATTTTATTTGAATAAAAGGAGACCTTTTAGTTTCATGCCTGTTTGATTGGAATGACTTGAGGGCTAGCATCAGCTGTCAAATGGAAACATTGCCAGTAGATGGCAGCAAAATGCTTTGTTAAAATGTTCTTACCTTCATTTTTCAAAGTTGCATAGTAAATAGGTTCTGTACAATTTCCTTTTACGACCAAGGCAGATGGGATATTCTTATTTTCTTTAAATATATAAAAATAATATTATGTTTATGTACTGTCAGTTTATATGAAATGTTCTCTGGAAATTGAGCTGACATTACTTTTGGAACAGTAACTTTTTATAGGGCCTATTGGAACTCCTGCTTAATTGTCATTCTTAATTGTCATTCTTCTGACAGTGTTACTAATATTTTACATCGTTTTCTACCTCAAGTTTTTCTAAAATATTAGCTGTCATAATGTATTTCAAACAAAGTGACATTAAACAATACATGAATATTTAATCACGTAAACATACGAGGGTCTGGAAAACACTTTTTCTCTTTCGTAAATAAGTCATAATTTAAGGGTAACTTGTAAAAAGAAAGCCTTTTAGTCCTGGGTAGTTAAGACTGACCATTTTATCTTACATGAAATTGTTGACTTTAAGGGAGTAACACATAATATAGGGGAGCAACTCCTGCCCCTAGTTTGGCCACTGCTCAGGAAGAGAGCCACACAGAACGGACGTTGGCTTCCAGAAATATCTGGGGCAGGTGACAAAGGTCTGTCACATTAGAAATCAAAGAGCAGATAATCACAGAGTTTATTTCTTTTGTTTCAAAAATCAGTCAGCTTAGGAAAAGATTATGGAACTGTTTTAAAAAATAAAATTTGTCCAGTGCTGAGGTTTCTCCCAATTTTCACACTGTATACTACTTAATTCTTAATAAACTCCAAAGTCCTTATAAGACTAGGAATTCAGAATAAACTTTTATCTTATGAAAACATGATTTATCAACATCACTTAACATATAACATGCTTTGGAAGTTTTGCAGACCACAGAAAACCTTTTTTTTTTTTTTTTTGTACCTAATACACCCTAAAACAACACAGTCTGCCAGACCACAATGCATCTGTAATTTAGAGGAGCAGATGTTGCTACACATGCTTCTCTTTAAGACTAAGAAGCAACACACAAGAGAAAATAAAGCAAAAAAGCAAAAAGTTCAGAACAGAGGAAAAAATATGAAACAGTACAGAGATGGGGGAATTGAGGAGCCAAAAGCAGTTGGTTAAATTAGCAAAGAGAGGGATCTATTGACCTGAAATGTTTTTCTGTACTCTCTTTTAAATGCTTTGTAAGTCATTCTCATTCTGCTAATCCAGGTTTGCTAACTTTCTACTAAAATTTATTTTCCATGAAAGCTATTCTTCAATTAAAATGAGAAAAGAAGTACTTGATGTATAGTATAACACAAAATCATCTTACACTTTGTATGAGAATTGGCTAGAATATTGCTGTGCCATGGTAGAGTTTATTATTTTTGTCTTAGCGTCTGCTAATGTTTTCATTTTGGCTTTAACTCTAGCTGATCCCACAGTGAAGGACTTAATCGGAGGCTTCACTGCTCTTCATTACGCAGCCATGCATGGTCGGGCCCGGATCGCACGTTTGATGTTAGAATCTGAATACAGGAGCGACATTATCAATGCAAAGAGCAATGATGGCTGGACTCCCCTCCATGTGGCTGCTCACTACGGTAGGGACTCCTTTGTCCGACTCCTACTGGAGTTCAAGGCCGAGGTCGACCCACTCAGTGATAAAGGTACAACACCGCTCCAGCTAGCCATTATCCGCGAGAGGTCAAGCTGTGTGAAAATCCTCCTGGACCACAATGCCAACATTGACATTCAGAATGGTTTCCTGTTGCGATACGCTGTGATCAAAAGCAATCACTCTTATTGCCGAATGTTCCTTCAGAGAGGAGCAGACACAAACTTGGGTCGCTTAGAAGATGGACAGACTCCTTTGCATTTGTCTGCCCTTAGGGATGATGTGCTCTGTGCACGGATGTTATATAATTATGGAGCGGACACGAACACAAGGAACTATGAAGGACAGACTCCACTGGCTGTTTCAATAAGTATTTCTGGAAGTAGTCGACCGTGTTTGGATTTCTTGCAAGAAGTCACAAGTATGTAATATAATTATTACTATTATTGCATTTTTAAAAAATGTGCATCTTCTAAGGAGCTTAAGGTGTTTTGACAACTTAAAATGACTAAACGTTAATGATTCCCTTTAGCCCTGCTGGGTAAGTAATAGCTCCTTCATTTGAAATAAAAAAGAAAGCTCCACCACAAGATTTCATAAAATTTCAGTTATGTTATAAAAAAGTATGAGGGGTAGACAAGATGAGAGAAAAAATGAAGGGCAGAAAGTAGGGCTTACATTTTTTTTCAATATTAAAAAACGTGTTTAATATATTGTAAGTAAAGCATACACAGCTTTAGTAATGATAACCATCTGAAAAAAGCCATAGAACTTTTAAAATTAATAAAGATCTGTCAGAACAAGGCAATTCCTACTGGTCACAAACGTCATCTTTCCAGGCTTTATTGGACTTGAGATCAAGGAACTAGGAGAATTTTGGATTTTAGACATTCTAGCTGTAGGAGTGTCCTAGCATCTGTCATTTATTGCTAAGCTGTTGTTTTGTGTTTATTGTGACTTGAACTTGACTGCTACGTGGAGTGGAGCAGCAGTGACACATACTTAGGTATCCTAGTAAAGCAAGTGAGGGATACTAGAAATTACTGTACGAGAAGCTTGTGGAAGCTCGGGTGCCCGTATCCCCCAGCCATCTGGCTTCCCTTGGATCTCTGTGTTTTTGTGTGGGGCTCGGTTTTAAAGAGCCTGGAAGTGCCTAAGCCACCTCGTTTGTTTGCATCGTCTGACGGGGCTGCCAGTCGTGTGCATGAGGCCGTCCCTCCTTGGCAGGCTTCACTGTCACCAGTTGAGGGCATATGTGTCTTCAAGAGTTTAATACCCAGTCCGAAACGGAATTCTATGAAACAAAATGTTTGACCTTGCTGTCTGATGACTCCTTAGTGAATTCTTTCTATCATCTGATTTTTTAACTTTCAGTCATTATTATGGAAGAAGAAATGCATACCAGCTACTGGTGGGGGTAAGGAGTCTACTTGATTGTTTTGTAGATAATCCACTCTACCCCTTGGGACTAAAGTCAGAGTAAAAGTTTTATGAAGAAAATAAATTGTATTTTGAACTTTGTGTATTCATAAGGAGGAAAAGAGGAAATTATTACCATTAAGTGTATTCAGTTTAAAGCATAAAAAGAAATTACACTTGGTGTCTAACTTGTGTTGTCCAGTAGAACTTTCTGTGATGATGGAAATGGTCTCTTTCTGTGACGTCCAATATGGTAGCCACTAGTCCCAGGTGGCTGGTGAGCACTTATGTGGCTAATACCACCAAGGAGCAGAATTTTAAATTTTATTTAATTGTATTAATTTAAATTTAAATGGCCATAAGTACCCAGTTGCTCCCACGCCTGTTTAGCAGAGATCTGCCTGCCTTAGGAGAGAGGTATGGACTGTCTGGGAAGGTAGATCGTTCTTTGCAGAGATTTTCAGGCGCACAGTTGTACCCAAAGACCGAAAAGAGGGGGAGAGAGACTCTGTGTGTGTGTGTGTGTCTGTGTGTGTGTCTGTGTCTGTCTGTGTCTGTGTGTCTGTGTGTGTTCTCACCAGTTACCCTGGGTCTTCAGAACCAGGCCACATTTTAGGAAAAGACAGCAGTGAAATTTCAGAGGCTGCTTCTCAGCATGTTTTCTGGCAGTCCAAGTTTAGAGACTGCTCAGTAGGTTGTGGTTGTGAATAATAGGATTACTGTTGAGCTGGAGGTTAGGATGCTGTTAAGGAGTATATCTGGTCGAGTATATGTTATTAATAAATTCTGGATATCTGCTTTTGTTGTTGTTGCTGTAACTTCTACACTAGAAACTTGGTGTAGTTGGCGTAGCTGCCTTCAGGAAGGCCTGTTACAGACATCGCCTCAGCCCTTTTTGTTACATATTTTGCCCAGTGGTCAGTGGAATAGACTAGAGCTGGACCACTTGAGCTTGGCACCTGCCTTTACCAATAGTTAGCTGTGCCCTTGGGCAGGTTTACCTAACTGCTCTGTACCTCAGCGTCCTCATCTTAAAATCAGGATAACAATCTCTCCTATAGACTTGCTTTGAGAGTTAATATTTATAATGCAGCTGTGCCTGCCAGCATTTTAAGTGCTATCTAAGTGTTTTTTAATATATAATAAAATAATTAAATGGGATGGATGAACAGCACGGACTGGCTTGCGGCCAGCAGAGCGAACCTTAGGTTCTTCTTCTACCAGTCCCCTAGTTTCAACTCTGTCGACTCTTATGTGGTCTGCACAGGGAGGCCTGCAGCCAGGAGGATGGGATCCCAGCCTTGGAGCTGCTGAATCCCAACTCAGGGTGCCTCTAGGGAGCAGGAATGCCAGTTACAAGGACATTCATGTGGACCTTTAAATTAGGGGCAGGTAGGAAAATGGACTGGCTCTGTGTGTTCGAGTTCCTTCCTGCACCTGGAACATCCGTGGCAGGTGTGGGTTGACTCATTGACTATATCCAGAAAGGCTGGTGGCTGAGCACACTGGGATTTCACATCCTCGGCTTCAAGGACCAAAGAAGTGCCACTCGGTGATCTCTATTCTGGACTGGTTTACAGTTTGCTGCACCATTCTGAGTGGAAACTCAGTAAATCATAATTCTGGAATTTAAAAGCAACTGGGTATTTTTAGAGGCTTTACCCTAAAATCTCTGGTACGCACTGCATAAGAACAGCACACAATGTGGCTTAGTTATAAAGCAAGATCTATCTTATGGCTTTCTAGAATGGCTGGATCCCTGTTGGGCTCCAGAAAGCCAGTCACATGCAGGAGCAGCTTCTTTGCACCCAGGAGTAATAAGCACAGCTAAGAAGGGGTGAAGCTTGGACGTACATAGTGAGGATCACCTTGCAGAAGGGGAGCTATTTGCTGCTTCTCTGGTCGTGTTTATATGAAACCATTTTTTCTTCTTTCAGTTCTTTTGCTTGAAAGAAAACAAAGAGAGTGGAACAAATAAACTAAAGAGACAATTGAGAGAACGGGGAAGGGGTGGCAGGAGAGGTAGAGAGGGCAGTGAGGACAGACAGCACATGCTGTGATGGGCAGAGGTCACTGATGCGAGTCGCTGAGGGGGCTCCAGCTCTTGGGTCAGGAGGCTCCCAGCTCCTCGCACCCAGACCAGGTCTTGGAAAAGGTGCCCTGGGCACAGAATTTAAGGAGGCACTCTTTCTCGGGTCAGGCAGAGTGCACACAGTTAATTATTAAAGTAGAATAATTCGTATGAAGTGTTGGCACAGACACCCTTATGGAGCAAAGAGGATCCCAGAAGTGCTGACATACAGGAATGGACTAAAATTCTCTAAGCTGAAAGTGAAGAGCAAGAGATTGTAGGAATGATGGCCCAACTCAAGAAAGAAAAGTGATATTTATGCAAGAGAAAATGTCAAAAGAGATGCAATAGTAAAACTTCAAGAATGCCTATTTCAAAAGTAAAGATTACTGAGGATACAGGTAAGTGACAGAACTCACCTGGAGGAATCCGACTGTAATTTAGGGCTTTTCCCTCCCCTCCTTATCATCTTCCTGTTCCACCGTGTAAACTCCCTCGTCCAATGTGTGAACAAAGGTGTTGCTCGGTATATGAAATCTTTTTTTTTTACAAATTAATTTATTTATGTATACAAGAACTGGGGTACAGGACAGAGAGGCTGGGGGGTGAGAGGATTCACCAGAGACAGAACAGGCAGACTGACTGAAATACACTGCTGAGGGGAGCAGCAGGGAGAAAGGAGAGGTCTGCTGCACCCTGTGGGCAGCTCCCTGGCCAGGGATCGAACTCATGCTGCAGAGGCTGCAGGTTGCTTCACAGGCTGCGTCTTAACCCCTTGCGCCACCAGGGAGGCCCCCCCAGTATATGAAATCTTTTCAGAAAGAAAGAGAATTCCATGCGGAAGCTGGGCAATGACTAGCAAGAACTTTTTTAATCTTATGGGGGTGGGGACGGGGAGAGAAAGGTGGGATTTTAATCATCTGCATGCCTGGAATTTTGTTCCAAGAGAAGTGGGGAAGAATTTACATTTTGGGGGAGAGCTCATTTCTGACATTTTCTAAAAAGTTTTTCTAAAATTCTAGCTGTCGTAATATATTTTAAACAAAATAACATTTTATTAAACAATACAAGAATATTTAATCACATAACTTAATCACATGAGGGTCTGGAAAACACTCATGATATTATTTTCTCTTTCATAAATAAGTCATAATTTAAGGGTAACTTTTGTAAAAAGAAAGCATTTCAGCCCTGGGTAGTTAGGACTGACCATTTTCTCTTTGTATGAAATTGTTAACTTTGAGGGAGTAACACGTAATCTAGGGGAGCAACTCCTGCCCCTCGTCGGGCCACTGCTCAGAATGCCAGTGGGAAGAGAGCCACACAGAATTGACCTTGGCCTACGGGAAGGACTTTCTTCAGTCAGCCACCTCTGCAGCCGAAGGGGAGGACTGGACAAGTTGACACCTGCAGTTCCTTGTGCAAAGGGGGGGGAAATTGAAGGGAAGTTTTAAAGAACATGGTCCAGTCTCAGAGGAGAGGCAGCAATCAGCCAGTCAACGACCTGGCTCCCTGCTGGAGAATGCCCCTTGTGAGGAGGGAGCGCCGTGTGTGATTGGCTAGATTATCTGCAGAAAATCTTGCTCCTTGTGCAGCTTGCCTGGAAATGCTTTAATTGTAGGCCTCTATCCTTTATCTCGAGGAGAATGTTCAAAGGCAAAGTGGAATCAAAGGTTCCAGGGCCACATGTCATCTGTCCCTCCCCTTGCCACATCTCTACTCACTGAGAGTGGAGATTACCTCTGTGGAGCTGCTGGTTCATTAAGGCATATAAGCAAGATTTTACTATTCCCATCTAATATTTTCATTGGTTTTAACATAGCAATCAAAGTTATTTTCAATGGCTCGTCTGATAATTCCAACATCTGTGTCATAGCTGTCTAGTCTGATGCTTGCTTTTTCTTTTCCGACTGTGTTTTTTCTTGCCTTTT